TATGACATAATAGCACCCCAAATTTATTATAGCAACTGTTGTTTGCATTCCAGCCCCTATTGCCACCCTTGAAACCAACAATTTTTTTTTTATCAGAAAAAAGCAGTGGCGGAGCCAGGGGGTGCCGGGGGGCGCTCGGCCACCCCTGAAATTTGAAAATCTTGTAAATTAATATATGAAAAATAATTTAGCCTCCCCTGAACTTTGAAAATTTTAGTATTTTGCCCCCCCTGAAAACAATTTCTGCCTCCGCCCCTGGAAAAAAGAATTTCATTAAAAGAGGTACGAGTGATACCTCAACAACAAACAAATTATAAAATCATTTCCGTTCATCAGTCCAACACATAGTAACCTTTGTTTATCAATTCAAACTTTAAGGTTTAAATTTTAGTAAATTTCAAGTTAGCATTATATCAGTTTTTACCTCGAGCACTAAACTACTAGTTTTAAGTGAATAAAATCTCAAATAACAACAGAATTTACAACAGTTCATAGCCCAGTAGAATATATATATTTGAATAAGAAGAAATTCACTCATATAAAAATTTTATACACTACACTTACAAAAAATTCTCATAAAAAATCTCAACCATTTATCTCTCATTTTTCAATGATTGGGATTTATTATGATTTTTTAAGTGAAAAAAATAACTATTTTTAATAAATATGGATTGTGGGGGAGACTGCTGCAAATTTTAAATGAATTGGAGAACTTGTCTGAGAGGACTGGTTGAATGCTGTTTAACAATCTGTTGAAAGCAAGGAGTACTGAAAGACTAGAAACAGATTCAGCAACTTCCTCACTACTTGTAAATAGGTAGGAAATTTGGTGTCCGAATACCAAACACAAAGCAAAGAAGAACAGTCCAATAAAAATTGTAGTTCTCAAAATCGTTTTTATGGAGAATTTCACAGCTGCTGCATTTCCCTTCCCCAGCTCATTTGCTACCCTTACACTGTGCACAGGCAAATCAATTATAGAATTAGGGCAAATCATGAATAATGAGAGGGAAACCTTAGAGTTTATACACCATGCAGCACCGAGGAAGCCAAAGCAAATCATGAACTCCCACGCATTGATATTGAGACTGCACAAGTTATCCAATGTAACCATAAATAAAGATAAAATTAAGTACCACTCATTCAATCTATTCAGGAGCAAAGTTTTGTGCAATTCAAATTATATAAAATTAAGTATTGGATGAAAGATGGAGTCTGATATTAGAAATAATTTAATTTAATAAATTATCTATTAACTATTTTTTTTTTTTATTTTAGTCTAGATACTTTACTTTCTTTCAAAATCATCTATTAACTTCCAAAACTGTTTCATTCTTGTCTACCCTTACGTAACTCCGTTAACTTTGCTAACGAAATTCTACATATGGGGTCATGTGCTGCCATGTAAGTAGCCACGTGACAGGAGCAAATTTCCGGCAACAGCATTGTTTCTCTTTCATTTTGTTTTTTTTGCCACATGGCAGGGCAAATTTCCACCAACATTGTTTCTCTTTCTTCTTTTATTTTTTGGCCACATCTCAGGAGCAAGTTTGCCACATCATTGTTTCTCTTTATTTTTTTTGTCACCGTTTTTCTTTCATTAAAACAAAATTTGTCATTAGAAAAATAATAAAACTAAAATATAAGTATTTTAAAAAATAATTTTTTAACAAGTATCTTTAAAATACAGATTAGAATATATTTATTATATTTTTCGATGAAAAATATAAAACTAAATTTTAATTTTACTAACCAACTAATTAAAATCTCCTAATATTGAAAACAAAGTTTATTTTTGTAATTTTTCATACAAATTATTAAAAAAATAAAATAAATGCACTCTTAATTCTTATTTTTTTTTAAAATGTAAAAAAAAACTTTTAAAGAAATAGTGTAATGTTAAAACAAAAGTGTAAAATAGTTAACTCTCTCATAAAAGAAAAATCAAAAATACAAATTTAAGTATAGAAATTGAATTTTAAATTACGAGAGAGTTAACTATTTTACACTTTTGTTTTAGGACCTTGATTGGTGCACACCCGGATCCAACACCCGGGTGTGCACCCCCACTAAAAAAAAAAAAATTGAACCGGGTGGGTGATGGGCATTTTTTTTTTTCAAAGGAGAGTGTGCACACCCGGATGTTGACCCGGGTGTGCACATATCATTTTCCTTTGTTTTAACATTACATTATTTTTTTAAAAGTTTTTTTAACA